CACACACAAACACACACACTAACACACACACACACACAGGTGAATCGCTATATGCCACCGCATCGCAGATGCTGCGGTGGCATAAAAATCTCCGTACAGTCCCTTTAAATACTAGTTATGTAATATGTAAAAAGAAATATGCAAATGAGATACATAAAAAATATATATATAATATTAAATGTATTATATATGTAGTATATAATAACATAATAACTCAAAACCTGAGAGCAGATTAGACATTAAAAATAGAATATTTCTGGTAAGAAATGTATTGTATATGTATGTACTCTTCAAACTGGAGGAAATAAAGAAATATATATATATATATATATTCATGAATATATTTCAAATTTATAACAGTTGTGTATACAATTAATATAAACATCAAGATTATCCAACGAAAAGTGACGTTATAAATCATACATGTGACAACTAAAATGGGCCAAAACTGGATTCATATTTATAACATAAATATACATAAATTGCAAAATGACCCATAAAATTGCTGCATGTTTGTCCCGGGAAAAAACTATTGTAAAAATACAGTAACAATCTATAATATTACACAACTTATTTGAACAATTTCAGCTGTCTAGTCTAAAAGGCTGTTTTAAAAACCAGTCTACAATGTCATGCAAGCATACAATTGTTCAGCTCCACTAATTCACCTTTAAAACATTTTCCAAAAAAATATTGTCTAATTTTTTTTCCTTAACAATAAAATAAAATATTTTCTTTTAAAAATCTTTTTTTTCAAGATTGTTTCAATAAATTATATGATGACATTTTACAATTAGGTCAATTTGAAGTCCTCTAACATGGATCTGAGAGGAGTGATTTTTTTCTGCGTCCCTCAGTACTGTAAAAAATGTTTATGATTTTTTTTATAAAATAAGTTAGATATATTATAAGACAAAAATATAAAAATAAGATTTATCAACAAAGAATATGATATAAAATAGAAGATGTATTTTTATAAATAGACCATGCCTTATCTAAACTAAGGCTAAAAAATATTTACTGTCAAAAATAATGAAAAATAAATTTTCATGGTTTTTTTTGTAAATAAAGTTTTATAAATGATTTTTTTTTTAATAAAAAATGAAAAAAAACAACAAATGACCGAGTTCTTTTGCTCATGAACAAACTCTTGTTTCTGTATAAAATAATATTTTTCTAAAAAATAGAAAATATACACCAAGTATTGGTAAAAATATGTAGTAAAATATTGAAAATTTCAAGCTGTAAATTTGTTTTAAATGTATATCTAAAATACATGTACACAACAAGAATGCATTTATATACATGTACTAATAAAAGCATATCTCAACTTTAATCTCACATCATTATCACAACACCAATGTATTTTGCATTCATATAATATTGTAAATTATTCACTACACGCAATGATGATTATTGAAAAAAACAAAAAAAACAACAACTTAAGTTCAGTTTTACAAACACTGTCTATGTCATACTTTCTAGCTTTCCGAGTATAGGATGAGCCCTTTGGTGCCCCTCAAAGCATTATTTTGACAGGCATAAGCTGGCACCTGATTAGAACCACCAACATTCAATAAGCTAGCTAGATAGCTTCGACAAATGAAGTAAAATTTAAAACTTCAACAAATCTGGTGGTGGCTTGCTGCTTTAAAGTGAATTGGTCTATAAATGAAGGTCTGTAATACACTGAATAATTACATTGAAAGAGTTTAGTATCTGACATAACAACAAAGCACCGAAGAATAACAGATGGATGCTGAAAGCAAGTGTGAGATACATGATCTGATATTATATTTATTTACACACCAGATAATAAAATATTCCTGAACAAAATATCATTATCATATCACTTAGAACTTTTTTTTTTCAAGCAACTTTTTATAAGAATATCCAAATGATATACATATATTTTCTATTGTTTTCATCGATATTTAAAACTCTTATAGAAAATGATTGCATTGTAGACCTATCCTAAGGAGGATATTTCAACAATTACAAACAATATTGGATTATATATCTTCATAAAAAGATCAATATAATAAAATTCATAAAAAAGCCTACTTATTTTAGTATAAAACAATGATGAAGAAATAAAATATGCACCTCTAAAACATACATGATTCACCTTATTCACCCATCCCCACTTCAAAACCCTTACACAACATTATAATATAATACAAAATGACACGGTTTATCATGAGTTTACAACTTTCATTTCACCAAAAGATTATTTTAAAAACTCAATGATATCAAAAGTAAAAAAAGATACAATTTAACAACAAAAAACTTGTAATAACAAACAGCTACCAGAAGAATATACTTTGTTGGTCTTTTATAAATCTTCTAAAAATCACAATGAAGAATCTACTCATAGAATAATTACAACAACCATCATCAGTTAATGAATCACAACCACAAATGAGCCGCGTCATGAAAAAACCAACATAGTGGGTTTGCATCCAGCGTGGATCCAGACCAGACTGCGCATCCGGGCAGTCTGATCAGGATCCATGCTGTTCGTTATCAGTTTCTCTACTTGTTATAGGGTTTGTAAGCGAACAGCATGGACCCTGATCACACTGCACGGATGCGCAGGCTGGTCTGGATTCATGCTGGTCGCAAACGCACTATGTTGGTTTTGTCATGACGCGGCTCAAATATGTTGAACATAGAAAGCACCCTGTAAAAAGGTTTAAAGAAATGTAAGTCAGCAACAAAAAACTAGACGAAATATGATAAATTAAAAAAACATCCTTTCTGTTCTTAGAATGATCATGTAGATCATTAGGTGTATTTTATCATAGAAAATATATCTATAAATTATTTCCCAGCAATATACTGAGAACAGCAGTTAGATTTAGGCTGTATCTCTATTTTAGACCAGAAGAATATGAAAATTATGCTTATCTTACTATAAAATGTAAAAAAATAGCAGGACAGAATACTTCTTAGATAAAAAAATGAATCAAAAGTCCAAAGGAAAAATATATTATACAAAAGTTTGTTAATTTAGATCAATATTGAAATGTAAAATATAAAGTGAAATAATAAAGACGAAACTCAATCATGGAGAAGAATTAATATAAATGCTTGTTTTCCAATCCATTATATATTGTGATGTAAAATGAAAAATGGTTGTATATTTGCTAAATACTAAAAACTTTTTGACATCACATTACACAGACTTTGTATCATTGAGCATTGTTTGTCACAAAGACTGTGTTAGCAAATGTTGAACCAGCGCTGATGTTAAAAAAATGTAAAGTGCATCTTTAAATTGGACGAATATTTGATAAGTATTGTCAAAAACATTATTTTCATATCTTCAATTGAATTCTAGAGCAAATAGTTTCACCTGTGGATTAGCTACATGTGAAAATATAATGTTTGGAGTTCACTAAATGAAAAGAAAAAAAATGCACAACACATGAAAGTAACAAGAGCTGTCTGTAGGACAGCATGCTCGACTATTCTAAGTGCTTGATAGTAAAAGAGCCTTGATATTGTTAAATTTTTTAAGTTCACAAAAGGGCTAATTTTTTTTTATAAATTCATGTTATAGGCCTTACAGAGAGTCTAATTATACAGAATTGGCTTGACTATTCGGAAGGTAATGTCACAAGGTTTTTTTTATTGAGTATAATAATACTAATTACCTATGAATACATAAATTTGACAGAAAAGGTACAAAGGCTTGTTATTAAGATGTTTTATCAAGTAAATCACTGCTTTATTATTATGAATGCATAAAATTGTCCCAAAAAAGGCACAAACCCTTCAGTAGTTATTGAGATAACAGCTTACAAGCAAAACTTTACCATGAATTTCTAAGTTGAAAAAGGGGAGAAAAATCAGCCTAAATGCAAGATTGAATTATTGATCTTTGTCAGTGACCTACAATTATGACCCTAAATGCATATGTGAAGTTTGAGATAAATATCTTTAATAGTTATTAAGATATGTAAAACTTGCATGTAAACATTAACCAAGAGACTAAGTAGAAAAGGGGATATGAATCAGCCTTAATGCAAGATAGAGTTATGGAACTTGGTCACCCTCCAATTATGGCCCTAAGTGCATGTGTAAAGTTTCAAGTAAATATCTTTGAAGACCGTTAACCTTTAACCAAAATTTCTAAGTTTCAAAGGGGCAAATAGTTCTGCAAATATTGCAGACAGAGTTATGCAATTTTGCAAACTGATGTACATTGTTACTATAAATAAGTATTTTAAATTTCAATTGAATATCTCAAGCAATAATTGAGATATTTGACTTTACAAAAAAACTTTAACCAAAAGTTCTAAGTTCCAAAGGGGGCATAATTCTGTCAATATGGTAGGCAGAGTTATCCAACTTGTCAATCTGATGTACATTGTTACTATAAATAAGTATTGTAAGTTTCAATTGAATATCTCAAGCAATAATTGAGATATTTGACTTTACAAAAAACTTTAACCAAAATTTCTAAGTTTAAAAAGGGGCATTATTCTGTCAATATTGTAGGCAGAGTTATCCAACTTGTCAATCTGATGTACCTTGTTACTATAAATAAGTATTGTAAGTTTCAATTGAATATCTCAAGCAATAATTGAGATATTTGACTTTACAAAAAACTTTAACCAAAATTTCTAAGTTATAAAGGGGCATAATTCTGTCAATATTGTAGGCAGAGTTATCCAACTTGTCAATCTCATGTACCTTGTTACTATAAATAAGTATTGTAAGTTTCAATTGAATATCTCAAGTAATAATTGAGATATTTGACTTTACAAAAATTTTTAACCAACGCAGACGCCGACGCGGACGCTGACGCCGACGCCACTACAATAGCTCTCATATTCTTCGAATAGTCGAGCTAAAAATCGTTTCTATATATCCAGTATTAATCTTAATTATGGCTGACCATCAAAATTTCTTTGAGGATTCAGTTCTATTGTGTATATTCTGTCTTATGACATTATATTCCTCCTATGTAGACATAAATATCCCGGAATTTAGCTTGACTCAACAATATATGTGTTGACCCATTTACTTAAGAACAATCGTGACACTGTGTCTTCCTCAGCAAGCAGATATTTCTATGTAGATATCAGTGTATGTAAATCAGCAGATATTTTAATGTATAGAATAATAATTAGAAAGACAGTTTTTCAAACTCGAGTTATGTTACTGTATATTCCAGATAGTTCATCAAACACATCTATTGAGTTGCTTCATAGGACGGTGGAGGTGCTGAAGGTGTTGCCCCTGAAACAAACAGTAAATTATTCATTGAATAAAATATATATTATCTTATTTATAGAATAAAACATTTATCATCTAATGCAAACTTATGATGAACAATGCCATTATAAATATTCATTTGTGATTGCATGAAATTCACAATATTCAGGTAACATGAATGAAAATTCTAAACGAAACAAGTGAAAAAGTTATATTTTTTTAAGCTCACCTCAAATCAAAATCCATGTAATTAAATATATGATATAAACAAAAATGTCTGACAGCCTTCTATCACTCAGTTGAGGTATAAGGTAAGATACAGAACTTTAAACCTGCTGATTTTCCAGCTTTTCTGATAGTGGTCAACATAAGGTGCCATGGATCATTTACTAATAGGCAAAAGTTGATATCTGAGTACAACCTCCTATATTCCATAAGTTTCCGCAGATAAAAGAATCCTAAGTTCCCAGGGAGATTAAAACCCACAGTAGATTGAGTAGAGGCAAAATTGAGGTCAACAACCTGAACCACTCTACTACAGACACCCCTGTTTTACTACCAAAGAATCATTAAAAAGTAACGGCTTTAAATTACCTGGGGCAGCAGGGTATCCATATGGTTGTGATGATTGTTGATATCCTTCAGGTCCTGGGGGTGGTTGCGGAGGGTATCCTTCAGGTCCTAAGGGTTGCGGTGGGTATGCCTCAGGGCCTAGGGATGGAGGTGGGTAAGGCCCTGACTTTGACTCTAGTGGGTATGGCTCTGACTCTGAAATTCAAATAATGAAGAAAATTAAACTATATGAAATAGTTTATAAATAAAGTAAATGTTTCTCCATGACAGATATATGTCCTGATGAATTTTTGTTTTTTGGTTGGGCTTCATGTAGCACCTATACAGTAATGGTCATATGGCAACTTTCCAGCTTTACTGGTGGAGGAAGACCTCAGGTGCCCCTCTTAGCATTATTTCAGGCCTGAATGGGCAACTAAGTAGAACTACTGACATTCTGTAACCTACCTGGATAGCTTCCTCGTATGACAGAATCCAATGTCCCTGTTGGGATTCCAACCCACAGCAGTAAGGGACAAATGGTTTAAAATCAACAAACTTAACCACTCGGCAACAAATGCCTCTCTTTCTGTAAATGTTATTTTTTTGCTTTGTTAATCCTTTGATATGGTATTCAAATCCACTTGTACACAAACCTTTAAATCCAATAGGAGCAGGGGCCCCTGCATACGGGGGTTGATCTTGAGTTGGTGGGTAGGGAGTAGGACCCTGGGGTGGAGGATACATCCCTGGCTCTCCTGGTGGTGGATACATCCCTGGATCTCCTGGTGGTGGAAGTGGTGTTGTTCCTGGAGCTCCTGTAATTTATCAATTTCCAAAACATTTGGCATGCATTTAAGACAATGCTTTCATTATTGTTTCTCTGATTTACTTTAATATTTATAATAAATTTCGTAAAAATGCATCAGTTAAAATTTTCATATTATTCATATTATACATAAACGATATACAACCTACAAGCATTATATCAGGGACAGGTGAGAGTTGTTACTTTTGGAGAGGCTTACCATAATATAATGAAATAATCATTTAAAGCAGTCTTTGGAGAAAAGCAGAGAAAATATTTACAATTTAGAACAGGAGCTGTGCATTAAACATTTTAACATACCTGGATTAATAGAGTATGGAAGCCCACCAGCATTTGGGTCATAAGCTTGAGTGGCATTGTAAGGTGTTTGGGGACCGAAGCCTGGCTGCATAGGGAACTGTTGTCCGGGTACATCTGTTTAATATAATTCAGCCGAATAATTACAAGATATCATCTTAATATAACATTCAGCAAACAAGTTAAGTTTTCTTTATTTCATTTTTAATTTCCTTAAAGCAGCATGCCTCCAGATTTAAATATGCTAATGTTCCTGAAATTTTTTAAAATTTATTAAAAATTAAATTCATGTGGTATTTCAACGAATTTTATTCAAGATATTCATTTACTTCATCATCCATACCTATTATTTTGAGCATGGACCATGTTTTATATTGTGTACATGTACACACATAATGATATATGTTCATACAGTCGACTCCGGTTATAACGAACTCACTGGGACATTAAAATATCGTTCGTTATATCCGAAGTTCGCTAAAAGCGAAGTGGCAACAACTTGCTGACTTGTTTTGTTTGGATCGGGAAATTTGCCGTGAAAAAGCCATACTTTTCACTGGTTACCGGTGTAACCGGTATTTTACTACAGCGGTTATTTAATGCGGGGCATTTTATTGAACAAAATATTATGTACATGGTACATGTATTTATGTATTACTTATCTATAAAGTGCTTACCATTTGTTTTCTTTTGCTATTTGTTTATTATCGTTTGGTTAATATTGCAAACAAAAACAATCGATTATTTGGTAATTATCGGGTATTTACATCGATCACCTGAGGGTGCGAAATACAAAATTTCCGTAACAAGTAGGAAATTATGTTGTGAGAAAATTTTATCAAAATCTTTATTCCCTGAAGCCATAACTAAATTGTACAATCATTTGATTGTATAATTATCGGATAGCATTATTCATGTACTGACCCTAATCGAGCGCATCACGATATTTCAATTATAACTGTTTGTTATAACCGAGGGAATTTACATGTTTTTCGTCCTTTGGGGCCTGAAAAATAGTTTGTTATAGCCGAAAATTCGTTATAAGCGAGTACGTATTAAGCGATGTGATTTAATATAAAATAAAGAAGGAATCGGCCGGGGATGTCAGATTCAGTTCGCTATAAACGATCATTCGTTATAAGCGAGTTCGTTATAAGTGGAGTCGACTGTACATGCAGTAAACAAACAAAATCTTATACATTAAAGAAAAGGAAGGTAACTTCAGACAAATCCTATATAATTTATCTTCTCATACAATACATGTTTAACCAAGGTTAACTTTTTAACATCATTCTACTGATTTCCTTTCTATAGTCACATGACTGGATGTCTATTTTTTATCTTTAACCCACAACACTCTAAATACTTAAAATGAACTTGTCCATTTTTTACTCTGAACAAAACCATTTATCCTTTCAAAATACATTCACAAAATAAACAGCCCATAAGTCTAATTTAGTTAAAATGTGGTCCATGTGGTTCAGGACTCAGTCATGCTGACACTTTCCTCAACCTGATAACTTAACCCTGCTGAATTTCTTAAATGAACTTGTCCAAGTAACATTATTGGAACTGTCCATTATCAATTTTGAAGATATCAAGATGAAGGTTGGAAAGTTGGGGTAAAGTTAATTTCTTTCAGTTCTGGCACAGAAAGGTTAAGTAGCACTACACAAATTTATATCTACAGGTAAGACAGAGAAAAGACTTACTTGGATTAAGTGGTTGCTGCTCTGTTATATGGACATTTCCACCAGCTGTAAATAAAAAATATTACCATATGTACAATGAAAACATTTGTCAGGATGGTCAAGAATTTGACATTTTTAAATATTTTGCAGACTTTGAAAAATTTCTTCATTCAGATCATTTTTTGTTTGTTTAGTACATGTAATATTTTTCATATCAATGGACAGAATAAGGTTGATGTGGCAAAAACAGGATAATGCTTCACACTATGTGCTTATCATCCCTCATAGTCTTTTTTTGCACAGTCATTTTTTTTCTTCTGAAACCAAGTTTATCAAGAAGGGTTTAGGGTGTATACCTGTGTATTATTTGATTTACTATATGTATAAAGAAACTTTAAGCAGAGATATAAAAAATATCATATTGCTATCTTCTATCCTTTAAATTTTATGAATGAAATGGGTTCCCCATATGGGCATGGGATGATAATGTAAAAGGAGTATTGCACTGATTAAGCTATTTGTGAATGCTTCCCTTCTCAAGACAATGAATTCCATGTCCCTTAAAGGAATCATGACAAAATGACCGGAATTTGTTTTAATTTTGACTGTATACTTTAAAGTTAAAGACACACATTCAAAGCACACAAGATGAATCATTTACATCAATAAATCAAAATACATTTTATCTGTTTCTGGTAATTATTGTTTGGTTTTATTAACCTGTCAATTACATACTGATTACACGGTTGATGCACACAGTATATTAATCTTTGGTAGAATTTCGGTAAGTTCCGTGAGATGTACGCTTTAACAGACTGTGCTATTGTGAATTAACGAAAACCTTCACATTAAGCTGGCGACTGACTTTCAATCAATGACTAATATACTCCACATTAATTCTCATAAACTACACGGACCAAACCAAAGTGGGATCGAATATTTAAATGAGTCCTATAATGTATTCATAATTGACAGGTTAATAAAACCAGACTATAATATTGAACTATAATCAATATGTGATATGAAGAAAAGGAACAAAACACTTTTTTTCCCATCACATTCAGATCTCTAGTCTCTATTAAGCAACAGAGCTTTGTTACCATTGTAAACAATTATACCCTATTGCAAGATATTCTAGTCTATATTGATAGCCTGTCTATGATTTTTATAAGACTTCTAAAGAAAATGTTATCTTACCTGGAGATTTAGTTGCTAGAATAACTCCGCCTTTGCCTTGTTTTTGTTGACGCCTCTTTTTGATGCAGACACAATATACCACCACTCCTATGACAATACAACCTACAACCACGCCTATCACTATACCAGCTATACGCCCCTCAGCTGACCTAGTGTTGCAAAACAAAATAACCATCACAATTGTTTTTTTTAGATAATGTGTTGCTATAGCTTCTGGGCCCTGGTCATTGTAGATACTAAGAAGAAAATTTTTTAAGATTTCATTTTCAGTCTATATTTACCTCCTTATTTTCATTTTAAGTCTATTTCTTGCTCCCAAATTTAATTTTCAGTCTATTTTTAGCTCCTAAATTTCATTTTAAGTCTATTTTTAGCTCCTGTGATATTACGCTGATACATACTACTGGAACAAATCATAAAACTTTTGTACAGGGCCTCTTAAGGATGATTCCTATGAAGATTTGTCAAAATCTATGATAGGGAAAAGCAGAAGAATGTTTTGGTTAATTCACCCATTTGACTATGCATGACTGAAATCATGCTTTTTGAATTTGGATATTTAGCTTGAATAGAAAGAAATCAAATCCCTAAAGAATGTCCAAAACGGCAACATGATGCAGACTGGTTTGATTGAACCTGTCCATAGGGCAAAAACGGTACTAGAAAGTGCATGATAGCTTTACATGCTATCAAAATAGTCTAGATGGGGCCAATTTTGATCCATAGGATAAAATGTTTAGTAGCTCTTAGATGTTATACACAAGTTTTCTTCTTTGGCAACCAAGAAACCAGAGTTATGCATGGGAAAGAATTCTAAAAATTCCATATGCAATGTGCACCACTGATTAAATTTTGCAATCCTTAAAACAAAAGACAGTGCTTCAGCCCTTACACCTCTAATTTACTTAATTGGATAAGCCGGTCTTTTAAACTAGACAACATCAATTTAATCATTATGGAAAATTTACAAAAATTATTCTGACTGAATAGCAAACAGTGCAGACCAGGATTACATGGTATAGAAGTGTCAACTGATCTTGGTCTGCACTGGTGACATGGATAAATTCTGTTACCACAAGCACCTTTAAGCTTAACATTAAGCCATGGGGGCCCTTTACTAAATTTAATATTCTATTGAACAAGAGCTGTCTGTAAGACAGTGTGCATGACTATTCTCAGTGTGATACAGTAAAACAAGAGCCTAGATAATATAGAATTTTATAAATTCTAAAAGAGCCATAATTCTGTCAAAATACATGTTCAAGTGTTATGGGCTTTGGATAATGACCTCTTATGTTGCTCTTAAATAAGTGTAAAGTTTCACCATTCGTATCAGTAGTTTTGGAGATACCAACCACGCAAAAACTTATCCTAAGTGTGATGCCTACACCTGGGAGAGTACAATAGCTCTCCCTATTCTTTGAATAGTTGGGCTTTAAAACCAAATGATGGAGTGGATATATATATTAGTACATTTAACTTACTTGTCAGTATATTTGCAACATCTTTGTTCAGTCTCACCACCACAACAGTAAGCCAGGTCATCAGTCTGATATTCCTCGGGACAGATAAAATATCCATACGTATGATTCCTGAGATTCTTCTCATTGTAACAAATCCTTGGTTCTGTGTTTAAATATATTTGTTAACAGAACATTTGTACATATTACAGCAAGAAGTATTGATATAAAAGGACTTTTTTTCTGTGCACAAATAGCTGAAAATTCACCTTAAGGTACTATTTATGCTAAGCACCTAAGTGATCCCAAAGGATGTATCCACTAGGATATACCACATGCCAAAAATCTAAGCTCTAGGCATTATATTTTCACACAAGTAAACTTATTTTCCTATATAAATCTATGTAAATTATGTGGCTGCGGAGAGCATGCCAATTTTAGATTACACATTTTAATTCCATTGTGTAGGAAGCTTTTAAGCTTATAGACAGATTCTAGTATCTGTTCCTAGAACCAACCAGTTCTAAGTAATAAGCCTAAATTTTCTTGCTCAAGGAAATACCACCTTGCCCCCGATAAAGTTTGAACAATCACAGCAAGCTACCTATAGATTACTAGTCTGATGTGTTAACCATTTGACAACGACGCCACAACTGTAGCCAATTTTGACGTTAAAGTCACAATTTACATAACTTTTTTTAAAGGACCACAAGGTGATTCTACATTTCAAATATCTACATTTGTAAGCTGTTGGCAATGAAGTGTCAGAGGAGAAGATTTTTTTTAAAGATTTCATGTTCAAGGTCTTTATTTAGCTCTTGTGATTTACTTATGCAACAGATATGAACCAATCAAATAACTTTCATATAACTTAGAATCATTTCTGTCAAGTGTGGTCAAAATCGACCATAATTATGCTTGTTGTTTAGATAAATTATTGGCAATCATGAATGTCTGAAGAATGAAACATTGACATCACAAAAGCTTACCTCTGGGCACTTTGGGGCTGAAATGAGCTAAAATTTTAAGAACTATAACTCAATAAACTATGAATCACTCAAAAGTACCTTCAAACCAAATTGCTAACCAAAATTTCATTTGTTACTAAAGTTCCTGGGTTTCAATAATTTTTTTTCCCTTGACAAAAATACCTCTATTAGGATATCTGTGATAAAGACTGCGTCTTTTGTAGCTCATTAGCCCGAAAACTGTCCCAACAGCTGCTGCAGTCTTCCATGACCCTGTCCTATATGTAGGCCCCCTGTAATAACGTACAGTTGAAGAACTTCTACTTGAACTGAAAATTAATAGCATTTATATATATAAACATGTGCATCTAGCATATTAAGAAAGTTTTTGAAAGTGAATACAATTACATGCTTGTACTAAATAAGAAATTGAGTAGAAACTAGAAAATAATAATTTTACCAATAATTCCCGATTAATTACAACATTAAGCTCAGTTGACAAAGTGGTAACTCTATGCATATATTGAATCAAAGGGCTGCAAGCATTGTGGTATTTTCTGATCTTTGCAATCTTAATTGTACAGTTTCTGTATGTATTTTCCTGTATAAGTTTATTTTGATATACTATAATTCATCTTGCAGGGCACCGAGTTGCAGTGAATGCATTAATATTTTTTTGCTATAACAGTTTGATACATACAGAATTTTGCATGAACAGAGTTTCTAACTTGCATTATGAAATCATTTATGTATATTTTCTTATGACAGCCACACTTTATCCTTGCATATCGTGGCTAATTTCTTAAGAAAGAATGTTAAAATGCTAAAGTTTTCATTCATACAAGCATTTTTCCTCTGACTTCTAAGTGTGACCTTTGACCTAGAGACCTTCTAAATAAGAGTGGCCCTTAACTCATGGTGATGAACATTTGTATTAATCTATCCTTGCATGTAGACTATATCCTCTGGATACCTTGACCTTGACTATACATGTACTAATAAGACTTGTCATTGTGAACAATGACAAAAAATTATATAATTTTTTTTCTTAATTTATACTCATATTCTACATGTAGATCAAAATATATTGCTAAGTTTTTTTTCAAAATTCAAATTTTTCATACGTGAGGTTGATATAACAAGTTTCTAGCTAAATTCAGCACATACCTTGACCTTACCCTACTGGATCTTGAACTGGATCTGTTTCCACCTCTACCACCACCACCACCCCTTCGTCCATCTATATAACTTAATTCTGCAATACAAATACACAAATGTTTGACAACAATGCACTGAACAGCTGGGGCAATTTTTATTACACCCCAAAATGCAAATTTGTTTGAAACATCAATTAATATAAATATTCAAATTAAATATCAACAGATTTCCAGAACATGTTTTATTTCAATTTGAATTACTTATCCTTATGATTTTATCATGTGAAAATGAAATTATTTATTTTTAAAATATTGTTGATGGATCACCTGAGTCCAATAAAAATGACATATTATTTCAGGCAAGTAGGGCACCATAGTTCCCTAAAGGCCTTGTCACACCAGACTGCACTTTCACTGCGTTTGCACGGCATTGTAAAATTTAACAAAGCGCTGCGAGATGTTACTGAGTTGCTACGGCGTCCATGCTGCGATCCCAATGAGCTTATTTTAGAACACTGAGTGACGGCGTTTGTTTTGAACATGCTCAAAGTGCGCGCTGTCGGTCGGCGTTCTATGCGATGCCACTACGATGCTACTGCGATGTTTGCGATCTAACTGCGTTCACCACAGCGTTCTGAAGTTTCATTGGATGCCGTGAGAACGCGGTCCTAGTGTGACAGGGGTTAAAGCTAGCTGAATATCTTACATAAAAAATCTAAAATCCCTGGCAGGATTCAAACCAACAGAGATGAGGGGCTAGTGTTTTTGAAGTCAACAACCAGTGGGCCACAGATACCCAAGAATGACATCAAATGTAAATAAGTAAATAAGTAGATTTTCAAAATTGAAGTCAAGTTTTCATCAAACCACAATTTCAAATTCCAATTAATTATTATGATAACCACCTACAAAATTGATAATGGACAGTTCCAAAACAAAAAGTTGGACTGGTCCATTTTAGAAATTCAGTATGTTCAGGATTAAAGTGATTATATGCACATTTTCCTGTCCATTTTTTAAATATTTTTTTAGGTACTGTTCGTATAAATGTATGAGCACCTTTCTACATGTATATTAATTTATAAATCAAGTAAATATCAATTTTACATTTTCAGTTATTTTGATAATCAAGACAAGCAGCGTGCTAAACCCTTAATCTGTTGAATTTATTTATTGCCTTTAATACAAATATTTGAAATAGGTCTTTCAAAGTTTAGGAGACTCTATAACAAAATAAATTTTTTTAACAATCAACAGTTTAGCTGAACCTGGTCAGACTGCACACTGACAGGAAATATAATCATCTATGGTTACAGAAGGTTTCAGGTTAACAAGTATCAATAAAAATACAAATGTTGATATTCAGTGGAGATTGTCTGTATAGTCCAACTGAATGAATAATAAATTCAGTAATATATTCAGAAATGCATTTTACATGAACTGTCTGGTATAATATTGATCACCCATTTATAAAGTGACAGTTAACTGCACTGACAGCATAAAATCAAATTGTTATTTAAGTATAAAGTACATACCAGACAAAATTCAAGCTATAATTACATGTACCGGTATATTCTTTTTGTGAGTCTTGGTCTATTTGGTGGTCCATAAATTTATTGGCAATGAAAATGAGTTGGCCCCTGAAATTCGGAAGAGGCCTCAGCCTTTTATTTACAGAATTTCAAACACAGAATTTTGTCAAATTGTGTAAAAGGTGGGATAAATTTTTAAAATCATATACATGTATAAAGATTTAGAACTACAGTGCTACATTTTTTGTAACAAAGGCTGCTTATCATTCAAGGTCTTAAAGAGGTCAACAGATTCAGTGTTCATTAACTCATATTCATGAATATGTAGCAACTGATTTGACATTAAAATTCCAAAGAATGTATTCAAGACAATGTTCATTTTGGAAAATTTGCAAATAAAATTAGGAAAGGAAGGATTATTTTTCAATTGGAAAGCCAATTTCTGCTGTCATGTATCTATTTGATGAGATTGGTCCACTTATTGTAACCTTCTAATATTTAGCAGCATTAGTAATCGGATTTTACTTTTTTGCCATGAAGCTCAGTAATATAACAAGATGTTTCTTTCAGTTGATTTGAAGTGTTTCTTTTTTATCTGGATTAAATAACACAACCGATGAGATTCATAGTTTTCAACACCACTGGGAACTTTTTGGACCAGGCCTTTACAGACACCAGACAAGACAGGTAAGTTGTTGAGTTAAACCCATTGACAATATCAGCTTATAAATGGTTAGTTTGATAAGCCAGGTTTGCCTTTTGGGCACTTTTTATGGACAGGGGCAATAATGGCATGCTTCCTGTCATTGCGGATACATGAGGTCCGATAGGTATAGCAGTTGACAAAGGGGTTATTACAAGGTGAAGTTCTTTAAGTAAACTTGGGGAGCACTGCTCTAGATCTGAACCAGAAGCTTTCTTTACTTGGAATGTTATATCCCTCCTGAGTGTGAACATTATGATGATACAATTTGGACCCATTAAGCTTCCTTGGAGTCAACACACTTTACAACTAGTGACTGGTCTATATGTCACATTATTAAATCTTAGCTATTTTCAATGTCATTTATTATGCATGGGATTATAATTTATCTAATGACTACCAAGGAAATACATTAATGTATTTTGTTTGCCCTTGTTAAAAACAGAGGTTCGCTCTTCTTTTTTTTTTATGTTTGTAGGCATTTGAAGATTAGGCTGTCAATGACAGTGGTTATGGAAATACATGTACGTCTTTGTACCTTCTAAATGTGGACTTTGTTGAGTAACATTTGTTTCAGATACATCCCATCTCCAGAATTTTCTTGAAGGAATATAAAACAAAGCTTACAATATCTGCTGGACTATCCTAGCAACATCTAAAGCATATTTCAACAAATAACTTCTAATCTAGGGAAGTTCTTACTTGCGCACCATAGCGTATGTTTTGCAACGTGATGTTCCAAACATTCAGCTGAAATTCTGTGTAAGTGTTGCTTCTAGCTGCTGATAGGTATTGAAATGTTGATGTGTTGTAAGGTAGGATACATAAATGTTATAATAGCAGCAGATAATGATCAGTAATTTAGTCACTTTAAATTATTCTTCCTTCTCACGAGAAGGAAGAACTATGTTTTTTGAAACTCACTGAGACGTGACGATATTAAACTTCACCAAGAAATCTTAAGCATTCAAAATGTATATGGAGCGGGCCATTTTGTTCTATTAACAGTGCTATTTTGATATCAGGAAGTTTTACTTTTAGTTTAGAGGTAAACACAGTTACTAGCAGCAGACAACAGAAAAAAGTATAAGTTGTATAACTGTGATCATTGAACAAAAGAAGCACAAAGTTTAGAAAAATATGGCAAATTACTCATCACACACTGTGTTTGAACTATTATATAAATGTCATTTTGCACATTTAAATTATTTCTTTATTGTCTGTAAATTCATAGTGCTCCGTCTCCTCCTTCAAATTGTATTGGTCTTTTGTTTATTGCATCAGAAAAACATTGTATGATCTATTTCAAGGTCAAATTGTCAGAGTCTGAGATCAATTATTACTTTATAGCCTGTTTAAAGTGTTTTAAGTCAAAGGAAACTACTGCTTGATACTGTTAACAGTCGTTATCATGTATGACTAGCAAGCATAGGACTGTTGATTAATAGAATGAAGAATGTGTCAGCGTTAGTGAACAACCATGACTTCTTCATTTTTGCACATTTTACCAATCACAATTTATCGGCCCTTTCCGTCAGTCTTCGGATATTAAAGGATTATATGAATAATAGCCAAAGATATTACACTTGACATTTTATACAATTTATTTATCGGTTACAACAATCAATCTCCTTGCATGTTGGCATTAATGATTATGTACATGTCTTTCAATTCATCATCAGTAGCATTTTTTCCTAAGATTTTGTTTTAAAGAACTCTATTAAGCCATTATATTAATACAGAGACATAGATAACAGAGATAGGCAACTTCCTAACCAGTTAAAATATCACGCGTTCCTGGTAAACTTAAAACTTGTAGCAAGTAAAACTTATTAACCAGATATCAAAATCAGGAAAACAATACATTTTCTGAAAGCTTATGCACTTGTCTATGACTGCAGGTAAAAATATTTACAGTTCCAATTTAAATAAATGATACATCAGTTTTTAAAGAGAACTACCTATTAATTTTTGTTACAAAACTATTCATTTGACGAAAAAACTGGCTCAGTGGGTATGTTCTGCTATGTTTTTCTAAGTGAAAGGTATGGAAAGTTATCAATATTTTAACATGCAGCAATAGATAAAAGATTTACCTTTCAAATGGTATATAATATTAAAGGATCAAATGTACATCCATTGAGTTTTATTTGCTACAAAATGCCTAATTTTTCACTTTTTGATAGGCATGAGTGATATTTCAATGGAGTATATAGGAGCTGCTTATCTCTGTTATCTATGTCTCTGATTAATATAAATATCTATATCTTTAAAGATACATGTAAATCTTTTTTCCTAGCTTTTTTACCTGGACTCCTGTTTATAATTTAGTGTTGTCCTAGAAGGACTTTTGCCCTTTTTTTGGTAAGCTAAACTTGTATTCTAGTCATAAAAACTTGGTAGGCACTATGCAGTAGCAGCAGTACTGAAAACGAAACGACGGAAGGCTCAATGGTTGACGGTTGAGGTGGAATAAAATAGAATCAAATTGTTTATTTAAAAAGAACTGCCTTGGTTTTATGATCTTTAAAAGTTTGCATCATAGGCACTCGGTTTGCATATCACTTCAAAACATTAAAAATTTGCTGGGACATAGTATCGAGGACTAACCAGTTCTCAAACCTCTAAGCATTTAAGAGGTCTTTTAATGTAAATAAAAATATATTTTTATAAAAATGCTTTACATATGTACACTTTAATCTTTATGTAACGTTTCTGTAAAATTTGACTGAAATTCAACTATTAAAAAAGCTATATTTCCATCTTGGAAAAGCACAACCCTCTGTTTTAAAACTTACATGGCCTCTTAAAATAAAGAACCTAATCTCAAACCCCTTCAAGTATCTCTAAAATTCTACTGTTTATAGTTTAGCCAATGAAGTGATTGTTATATGACTATCACATGACAATAAAGTACCCTACACGATGCAGTTACCTGCTTTAAGATATTTTTGTCTATTATATTCATTTTCACAAATAGTTAATGGTGTATTTATGGGACTTACAAAGGTAATAGCAATTTGTATGAAATTACGCTATGTAATAAAATATGTTATGTAAATATTTGTTCCTATGCACTGTTTTCATTTGACATCAGCAGACATGTCTGTCAGAAACTAAGCTTTTATGCACACAAGTTCAGGACATCATAGTCACTTCTAGTAAAAAAATAACAGCACATGAATGAAAGGTTTGAGAATAGGTTGGGTGTGAGATTAGGTACTTATACGATAAAGATATTAGATTTCTAAAGTCATTTTTTTTACTTTTGTCTGTTTTTCAACTGTAATGTAAAAATGCCTTTTAGATAAGTTTAAAAAAAATCAATTATTTCACATCAGCCATGATAGTTTAAACTTACCTAATAATAAAATAATAAGAAAAGCAACGAAAAAATTAAACTTCCAGTTCATTTTCTTTGCTTGTTCCGGGAATCCCTGTCAGCTAAATATAGTAACGTATTTTCAAAATGACGTAAAACTAAAATCGTTACGACTGAAAGCATTGGTCGTTATAATCGCAATGAGAAATTACTCGTATGTAATTATGACTAGTCAACAAATACAGTTTTTTATACTATATGTAATGATTATAATGGCATTGAAAAATATCAATAAACATGCCAACTAGCTTTTTATAATCACATATCATGTGTCCTAAATTCGACCCTGTCCATACGACACCATTTCTGTTTATAACCTAGTCTCGTTACATATTTTCATTCAAAATGAAAGAAAACAGTTTGATAATTTTAAACATCAGATTGAATTTCATTTATCTGTAGATTTCTTTGACATAGTAGTTTGGATTATTAGAAAACACTGTGCACGAAATAAACACTGTGAAAATGCTAAGGGTATCCGTGCCATGGCCGGATACTAGATCTATAGATATATTTTACGCATTTAAAACAGGCAGATCTGCTGCAAACGGCACTCTAATTACACAAATGTCACAGATCTCCGACACTCACATCACTGGAACCATATGCATGATATAGGCACTTGATGGCAAAAAAAGTTTTTTTTATCCACTACCCTTTGTGACCGACTACCCGCCGTGAGTTTTTTATAATTTTTTTTATATATAACACACTTATCAGTTCATTAAAAACCTACCGACAAAACGTCTTTTTTTAAAAATAGATATATCTACTGTATATTTATATAGTAGTAATTTAATACACAATGCAGTAGATATATCTATTTTTATTAATAACTAATTTTCTTTACCAATCTATAAGTTATGTTTACCAATTTTTGAGAAGAAACGGGCAATGACGTGGAAATATGACCTGAACGTAGAGTAGAACTAAAATTTTGCAAGAAATAGCTAGCGCATATATGCATGTACATGTATGAATGAAATTATTAATATTAAAAACTTTTTCAGGCTGTAATAAATCTGCAGGCCTTGATGGTATTGGCCCCGCAATTAAAAAAAATGGGGATACGATATTATAATATTCCTTGCATAACATCTATTATAAATAATAGCATTCATTTTTCCTGATAAACAAAAGGAAGCTTGTGTCTTATCCCTATGTTTAAATCAGAAAGTATAGACTTTTCTGAAAATGATCGCCAAATTTCAATTCTACCCACCATCTCAAAAATATTTGAACGACAAATAGCGTCACATCATTTTTCAATATACAAAATTTATGCATGACAGACAATCAGGTTTTCGAAAAAAATAAATTCTTGTAAAACAGCATAACTCAGATTAATTAATGCCTGGATCAAATATATTATTGATAATGGTAAAATGATAGGTGCTATTTTCCTTGATTTAAGAAAAGCGTTTGATCTTGTCGATGTACGATTAAAATTATATCATTTTTCTGAAAAGCTCTAACATTTTTGTTCCTATTTATCAAACAGGAAACAGACAGTTAAAGAAGGTGATTTAAAATCTTACATTTTAGTGGTTTAATAAGGAGTTCCTCAAGGATCTATTCTTAGGCCCTTACTATTTTGATTTATATCAATAATATATCTATACTCCGTAATGATCTTAATACAGACTTGTATGCAGATGACTCTACACTTTACCAATCCGGTGACTGTTTGGTAGAAATACAAGATATAAATGATATATAAATGATTGGTGTTTCCTTAATAATATGTCATTGCACCCAATAAAACAAAATGCATGATAATCGGTCCTGATATGTAATCCTCTCCTACTGAAAGTAAATTTTACAAGTCTAAAAAATGTTCAAAAGTTATTGAGCATTTATGTAGATAATACATTAAACTGGCATTATCAAATAGAATCTGTTAGCTCTTCAAATATAACATTTTTTACCTTACTGACGAAGTAAAAAAGATTATTACAACTCGTACATCCTTCCTGTGCTTGATTATTGTTGTACGGTATGGGGAAAGGACACAAACTCATACATCAATAAAGAAAATTCAATCCGAAATTATACTAAATAGGCCAATACGTTTACCAACATTAGATCTTTTTAATACACTTTAATGGCTGAAATTCAATTTTAGAGTGAAATACCACACAGCAATTATGGTGTAACAATCTGGCACCGAAGTATATGAGTTCTCTCACAATGAATAACATAATTTACGCTCAATCGTTCAGAAGGATCTTGTTCTGAAAATTATACCTCATACTTATTATTTAAAGGACTCTTTTTTCTTATTTCAGTATTGACGTTTGGAACAAATTACATATTACTATCAAACAATGTTCGACTTACAATCTTTCAAAAACAGCTGTAAAATTTATTTTCTAAGTTTACAGTGATAGATACAGTTATGATGAAAATTGACCACTTTATATTGCAACTGTTGTAAATGTTGAAAACATCATTTTTTTTAATCATTAGGAGTTATCTATAGTTACCATAACTCATATGAGTGTCAGTCGGATGAATGAATGAAAATATCTAACCTTTACATTTAAGAATATATTTATCTTTTTTTGTTTGTACAAACAGATTTTAAATTTTGTATACATCTGTAGATCTACATTTCTTTTCTTTGTTATTGTTAAATCTGAAAATAAGTTTACTTCTTACTGTGTAAACTTTGTATGTTACCTCCTATAAATAAAGATTTTATTATCATTATTATTATTGTTGTTTCCGCCCTTTATATATCATAATTGTATTATGGGCAAACTGACCGGGAAGCAAAGGTTATACATTTTCTGTTGCAGAAAGTTAAGCATTAATGTTTGTGAAATAAGATAAAGCAATATGCCACATACATGTCGTTTTGTATTTAGTTACTTAAGGTCACATGGCGACTTTCCAGATTTACTGGTGGTGAAGACCTAAGGCTGATTTTCATATATTACATGCATTCATTCGTGCAGTTGTACAAAGGAAACAGTCAAGTGAGGAGTTTTAAGTGTTTTCAAGTGTTTAAAAGATTATTTCGCCACAGGAAAATCACTTTCCATATTTACAGCAAGTATAAGGCAACTCATAAATTCATACAGAAAATCTTGTATGAGTTGTCTGCAATCGAAGTTCTCAACAAAAAGTAACATCGGCTATATATTAGTCGATATTAGTTGAATTTACTTTGGCTTCAGACAGCCGCATTGACCATAAGCCGGAATATCCATCCACATGGTAGTCAGGTGCCAGCCTAGATGAAGCTAGCTTGGACGACCAGGTATTGAGAGATTACTTGCTACCAGATTATGAAATATAATAATATTAGAATTCATGATGATGTTTTCTTCTTTTTGTATCAAATTGCCACACCAATTACACATCGTCATTTTTCAGGCCCATAATCATGGCACATTTGTAATTGGTGTAAGAAGACATTTGCACCTGTGTATAACCACCAACAATAAAACAATCCAAAGCCCACGGTGGTAGGTCCAAAAGAGGTGTTGGGCAAGTACCAGTATTCTTCAAAGTAAGAGATCATAAAATCTTGGCAAAGTAGGCCTACTTATAATAACGTAGCTCTGTTATTATTGTACATGTAAAGGATAAGATAATTTAAGTTATGTAGCAGATGATTAATAATCAAAATTAGCAGCTATAATAACGATGACCCAAAATTAGTTCATGAAAATAAAATGAAACCATTTGATTTAAAGTCAACTATATGGCTGAAAAAAAGTTATTTTTAGAATCACTAGCTATTGACGCAATACATGTATAACAAAGTTTATGTGTTATTAATAAATGAAACACTTTACAAGCTTAAGAGAGACAACAAACAAATAAACACATTTCAATGGAGTTATTTTTATTTCGAAAATATCTGTTTACTATCAATGTGTAATATTATCAATGTGACAAATTTGTACATACACAAGTTTCTAATGTTTGTGTAATTGACTAGGTTTCACACTCGCACTTGGAACAAAATACAAAAAAACATATATAAAATAACTGTACAAAACAAGCATAACACAATCATTCATTTATGGCAATGTTTTATCAATTAGCCGACTGAGTGCGATCCTTAATTGTACTAACACCAAGAATCTTTAAAATACACGCCAACAATATACCCGCCAAGAACCACAACCTCAGGCAAGTACCAAGCTGTTTGAGAGTTGACATTATCTTTATTTCAAAAAAAAAATCGATGAAAATTAAAAAGAAAGAAATAAAAAAAATGAGCAGACGACAATTTTTCCAGCATATATGTGGTTATTCTATGCGATCTATTGAAGATTGCTTGAACAGAGGGGTGTGACCATTGACCACCGTGTGATTGAAAGAAACAAAAACACTTCATGAAACACTGACGCCGGACACTTTTGATTGTTTTATTATATAAGACATTGCATATCTTCTTTATCATCAAAGCGGTGATGTCATTTGACTCAAATGTTTTGTTGCATTTACGACACTATTTGATTTATCATTTATTTTAATGGCTTGTCAAAAAATGACAATATTATTTATTGCTGGTACTGTCAAACTCGAAAAAAATTCCCTAGTTGTGCAATAGCTTTTGATTTACAGTAAATTGATAAACAAATTTTGACAATACAGTTTTTGAGCATACATTTGCACGTTTAAATATCAACGAAAACTATTTACAGAAATAATTTATTTTACATATAGTTATAATCATAAAATCGTTCATGAAACAGCAAAACTTTATTTTGAAATGAAGAAGAAACGAGTAAAAGCAGACAGTGTTTCGTCAGACTTAAAGTAATGAATTCATTATCTTCGAATCTTCGAGCAATCTTTCGAAGCTGCATGCAACTCTTTACATGTTTATATTAAGATGCCTTAGTTTTCGAGACAAAAATCTTTGGTTGTCAGATAAAAAAAGTATAATACATATTTTATGTGAAGGAAGGTAATCATTTATAATTTTGTGTAAGACATTCTTAATCATGTTTCACAATTAAAAATTACACAAGATCCGCAGCCGAATTTGCCGATGATTGATGCAGATAAAAAGGCATAAATTATCTAAAAACATAAATTTTAAATAAGCACTATACGTTTTCACTATTACAATTCATCATGTTTCGGACCGCTAAACTCGTTATGGGAGATAACTCCATCTTTGTCTTTATCTTCGTGATCAAATATCGTCTGAACGATGTTTTTATGATCCTCGGAATCGGGATCAGAATTTTGCCCGTGCTCCTTGGCTTGCTCGATCAAATAGGCAGAAACCTAATGAGAAATAAGTTAAACGATTAGACATAGAATGCATATCTATTGATGTATATCTAAATATATTTCAACATAAGATGTATTTTGTTGCACAGGTTAATTTGTTGGTCATTAAAAAGAGAACAACGTAAAATAATTACATTTTTTATGATGAATGGGCAAGAAAATGTTTGTTTTTATTAATTATTAAGTCTAAACAATTTCAAATGATTTTAGAAGCAAATATATCAAATTTTAAATGAGTGTTTTTTACATTTGAAAACTTGCGTTTATTCTTAATGATTTATTTCAAAGTCAAGCGACATTAAAAAAATAATCTAACGTCTTTTAACTCTATTAATCAATTCGCTAATCATATTAATTCAATCATAAAACGTTGCATCCGTACCTCGTCATGAGTAAGGACCTGATCTTCATCTTTATCAATCTGTTTGAAAACATTTGGTGGTACTGGACCGTCAGCGGTGTGGACAAGTTCTACATCAAACACCAAGGTGGCGCCTGGTGGAATAGCATCACCTTAAAACAAAAAGTCAATTATATTTTTCGGTAAAATTAACAGCAACCAGCGTGCAATTACAGTGATAGGTTACTAAGAAGTATAGATATTTGATTCAGTTATAGATATATATTTTGATGAGGGGCATACTTTGCCGACTTGCTAATAAGATACAATGTATAGCTGTCTATAGATATTTGCCCCTCACTCTTTACAGTTTAAAAGTTCGAAATCATTGACTTATGTGTGGGCCAGTATGTTTTATCATTAAGAGAACGATTCATTTTCTAGGAATATATCAACATATTTATTTCATTATTATTATTTTTAAAAACTGAAATTTTTTTTTTTGTTTACTACAGGCTTTATCAGAAAGGCTTTTTTTCTTAAATAGAAAATTGTAGTTTTATAAGAACTGCATCTTTATCAAGGTTTTTTTTTCTTCCTCTTATCTATACAAACCACGGGGTCCATAATAAAAGTTTATTATTTAATGAAATTACCTGCACCCTTATCACCGTAGGCAAGGTTTGGTGGTATAGTAAGTTTTCGTTTTTCTCCTGGGCACATGTCGAGGAGTCCATCTTCCCAACCCTTGATGACCTGTCCTATACCTAACTGGAACTGGAACGGCTGATTCCTCTCCATGCTGTAAATGAACAAACAGAAACGCTGAATAAATACATAACTGAATTTCTTAAATGAACGTGGCCAGCTTTGATTTATAAAACTGTCAATTATCAGTTATGGGGATATTAAAGTGAAAATTAAAAGATAGTTGGTATAGTGCCTGGTCAGACCGTATGTATGTTTATACTGGCCTGGTAACTATGGTGACAACGGCTAGTTATTTTCGGTTTCAGTAGGTTAAGGGTCAAATGACAACACTCAACTGTGCGAGCAAAGTATGTATCATTTTTTTTATAGCCTCTTATTTTTTCTTCAGTTAAAATTTTATTCTTTTCTTCATTTTCTTATCGTCTACTGTGTTGTCTATTGACACATTATATTAAAACATAACTATAATATATAATAAATATATATTAATGAATTCCTTATCAATAATATGACTTACTCTTTACCCTTTCTTTACTTTACTTATCTTAACTTTACTTTACTTTACTTTACTTAACTTTACTTTTCCTAACTTAGCTTTACTTAACTTAAGTTATATTAAATTAACTTTACTTTACTTTACTTATCTTTACTTACTTTACTTTACTTTACTTTACTTTACTTTACTTTACTTACATACTCTAACTTCCTTACTTATATATAGATCAAGCTAAAGTTTTATTCATATGTTATATACATGAGCTCGTTGTGAATCCTTAAAGGTTTACAAAACTTAAGAATTAAAACTAATACACACACAAAAATTATATGAAGTTTAATATAGTAATATTATCTTGTGTCATAAATGACAAGAAGATCGGAAGATTGTTTGCTTTTAATTTTCTATTTTTTGTTTAATCACGTTATACAACAACGTTACCATTAAATACAGCTATAATTTACTGCACGAAGTTTTCTCATTCCTTCTTGCAGTATTCTTTTAGAAATAAATTCCTGCAATGTGTGAATTTCACTTAAATTTTATATTTGACTTTCAAATAGCAATGAATAATTTAGTGGTCATTTCGAAGAATTACGAAAATTATGCGTGCATTCAGTATCGTATGAACGTTGATTTAATAGAAGCAGTTAATAAATGAAACCATTTGTGGAGAAAAATGCCGATTGTTACATTTAAAATGCAGAAAACTGCGTCTCTAGAAATAAGAGCTTATTTTATGTAAAAGTGTAATGTAGCAAAGGAATAATTTTATCTGACCGAAACATGTTTATAGAAAAAACAAAAGAAACACAATTCGACATAGACCTACTGTTTGATTTTCATGGCATCATGTATTAAATATATAACTCACTATTTATCATTCAGAGAGAAAAAACCCAACAAAAACAACAACAACAGCAACAAATAGTTTTAGGCGGAAAGTTTTCGAAGTCGAATCTAGTCCGACTGTGCTTTTCTGAAATTCACCCACACACAGCATTATTTTAGATACAAACTGACCACCAAAAACTTCTTAGGTCTATACAGATTTTTTTTTTGCCAAACATTAACAGGTTTCAATTTAACGGTTGTCTAACAGCGCCATGATAAATTACAATATAACCATAGCTTCTGAATAGAGTAGTCTACGTGTAGACCACCCCACGGGACTTAAATGTCATTTAGCGGCAGACGACAATTCTGAGGACTGTTTAACAATCAACAATGCGCCAAAAATATAATGAAATTAATCCGAAAAAATAAGTGTAACTAGAAAGCTTTTCTTATTGATAAAATTTGAGGTTTTTTTTGTGTGTAAAATGTGCAAATCAGAATGGAAATGTTTTCATGTTGTGTCTTGTTTTTATATTTTTTTTATCCTGTTCTATAAGCAAACAATAAAATATGTAAAATAGGATATTTAGCAAATCTCACATTATTTACATATACTATAAAATTTGATGAAACGAGTTTAAAACATTATTATAAAGTGAGCCTCTTGGACAAGTTTAATAAGACTTTACAAAACTTGATGTACAATAAGACAAACAATATGAAATTATTTTTATGAAAATGTGATGTTATAAAATAGACCTGCTTTATTGTCTTATATCAAGAAATACAAAATGGAAAAGTAACTGACGCCATGTGATAAGATAAAAAACTGATTTCATTTACATATTTCACAAAAATACTTTAATTAAAGATGAAGATGATGATAATGATGATGATAACAGTATGTTAAAAGTGATGATGATATTGACGATGATGATATTGATGATGATGATGATGATGATCGCAATTAATTTTCAGGAACATTTTAGAACATTTGGAGAATCAATATGTTCGAGAAAGACACTGCATTACTGTAAATAACCAATTAAATGAAATAAAGGATTTGCGTTAGTGGCATTTCTATGGGAACCCGATATGCGGTCACAGCTGCTATAAGACACTACGGCGCATTTATCTTTATTAATTTTGTGTCCGATGCCGTTCGATATAACCCGAGACAATATTTTCACGTAATTAAAATGTTTATATAAATGGGACTTGAAACATCGTCCGCAAGCGTGCATAAGTATCTAAATTTTGTCTGTTACTTTTGTTAATACAAAGTTAAATGACATATATTTAGCTACTTAAGTTTTAATTAAAACTGCTGTGTGTCGCTTCATTCCTAAAGCTGTTCTTTCATATCATAATAGATTTAACCGGTAAGAGTATTTTCTCCGCTTTACCAACACAAACTTATAAGTAAACTTTTCTTAAATTAAACAGTAGTGTTAATAATGGTTCAAGCGATTAATACCAATATTCAAAACATTTCCTGAAACTTAGTGAAGACACACTGCTAGTATAACCTTTCCGGCAAATAACGGGACAAGCAAAGCGAATAGCCTGTGATTTTACCGGAAGTAATGATGAAACAACACTCAACGGCCGAAAATTGCAAGCAAAATGTCAGGACATAATGGCACTATTCTATCATTTATAATCAATCTTTCTTTTTTTAATAAGCTGTTGAACTACCTCCTATCTTTCATACGTAATGATGGGATAGTAGGATTTTCTTTAGCAAATATATATATTCAATTAAAAGTCCTTAATTAAATTTAGCTGATATACAAGAAATAAAAGTATCAAGTTGCGAACGTGCCGTGCCGCATAACATTCTCTGAAAAAACATGTAAAATTAATGTTCGTCAGGCAGATTTTAAAATGTAATCAATAATGGTAATATCAAAAATATAAAATATTAATATAATACAGAGGTGGCTTACAGTACATTATATAGGATAGTCATTTGGTTTCTAAAAGGAATTTGCAAAAGCATGCATATGGTTTATTAACATATAAATAATGCACGAAACTTTTATATGCAGCAATACGCCATGAAATTGAAACTTAGAACCTTAAAAAAAAAGAAAAGATAAAATGATGAATGCAGACTCTGTGTCTAAAATACACCAGGATCTTTTATTTGCTTGTATTGTAATTGTTGTAGTTAATACCCTAAAGCACTTGCCGCCATGAACGTTTACGTCTACGTTAAGATCAATAATACGCTTGATACAGCGTTGTAACACGTTGACGTATCCCCCTGAGGCGTTACGTTTCAACGTCAGATCAATCTTCAGTCATTTATACGTCTTTTGTATTGTTATGCTTATAGCATGCTTAAACGTATAAATTCATATTTTACGGTTGTAAAATGGATTGCTTAGTACACGTATTTCAGTGACAAACTATTTTTATAAATGTAAAAGAGAGTTGAACGTATATAGTTTATGACACATTCTTTAATCTCTAAAATGTGGCAGTGTTTGATCTGTAATTAATAAAATATTTCACATAGAAGGCAATTCAAGGATTAAAATCTATTTAAATACATTCGTTTAGAAATAAAGCAGCATTAACGTTCATGAACATTCTTTTTTATCAAGTTTTATAATAGAATAAAGTATTAATAACAGTGGTCTCATCACAAACTGTCCGGGCGGTCACTTCGTTTACATAATGAATATACAATGAATAAATAAATAAATAAATAAATAAATAAATAAATAAATAAATAAATAAATAAATAAATAAATAAATAAATAAATAAATAAAATAAAATAAATAAATAAATAAATAAATAAATAAATAAATAAATAAATAAATAAGCAGATTTTTATCTTCAAAATCATGAGTATTGTCCGGGCGGTTTGGTCTCTTTTAGAATTCACATTTTATTTCTTGTAGAATATACTAAACAGAACAATTTTTGAAATCGCTTTTAAAAATAAAATTGACAAAAGGATCAATAAACAGTTGTAATTATGAAGAACTAAGCACACCGCCCTAAATGCATTTTTTACGACTTTGCAGTATGTTTTATATAATGTATTTGTAATTTTGATTTAATGAATGATGGTTCTATTTCACAAACGGTATTATAGGTATTATAGTTCCTGGAAAATTAGTTCACAGCTATGCGGCGGAGGCGTTTGTGGGAATGTCAAAGTAATTATAGGAGATGTTATTGCTATTGATATGCTGAACCTTATTGGTTGTATGAACATTTATATCTATTTACTTTCCAATTTTAATACTGCTGAATTGATATTTCTTATGCTCTATACCAATTAGGAAGAGGCAGATAACTTAAGTTTTGTTAATGTGTACTCGAGAAAAATAAGAAAATATTCATTTATTAAACATAAACAACATGTATGATTTGTATAATAGGAAATCATGATTTGTATAATCGGAAATATTAATAAATAATTAACTGGTGCATTTTGGTGTTTTTAGATAATAGTACTGTTTGTAATAAACAGTATTAGGTGTACAAATTTTAACAGAGTTCGATTTAACAGTGGTCACCATAGAAAATGCTGATAAACATGATATACATTTCAGGTGTTTTTTTTCTGCCGTTTTCTTCTCATGATAATTCCTATTTATTCAGAATCGCCTTGTATTGTTTGTAAACAATAGATATATCAACGTTATATAATTCAGTATTATCTCCACGTTATCCACGGAGAATCTCGCGTCAAATGAGACTTATCTTACAACTGTAATCTTCAGTATCTGTTTCCTATAGTAGAAATAAATTTCAAGTTCACACGCTTAAAATGTCACCTTTGATTATACATTAAAGATCTTAATACTCATTCAAATAACCTTCATAAAAGATTATAATGGGAATGAGCACAACTGGTATTGTTAGCTTTATTGATATCTTACCTGATATAGAAGTACAATTGATAATCCGTTCATCTTATTAAACATTGTCACATCTCAATACAAGGTTTTTATTACAAGTTATTGACCGGTAAGCCGTTTTACGTTTTTCTCGACTGGTGGTTTTCATACGTTTGGAGAGTTCTTATTATAAATAATAATCTGAGACATAAAAAGAGTCATAATTATTTTCTAGCTCCCGCTTTATCAAACATAGTATCTCATTTACGATTAGATTGGAATATTTCAATAACTTGTTTAATTTATTTTTGATTGCGTTGATACTGGGTTATCAAAAGAAGTTAGTTAGAAGGCGGCGTTTACTCTCTGCGTGACATTTTCACAATTTGCAGAGTAAAAATATATTTATAGATATAATCTCCCCACTGCATGAAATATATTTAAGTTTTAATGTCATTCATTAAGATAAAAAATTTATGATATTCTTCCTTATTATTTACATGTACGTAATGTCTCCGTGGAAAAAAACCTATAAAAAGAATTGATAACATAATATGTTAAGTCTATAAAGCTATATGTTAAGAAAATTACTTTAAAAATACGTTTAACATAGCTGAATGAAAAAAAAATATGCATGAACAGTGTATGTATCTGTATTAATTTCATAAGAGCGAATCGCGCATACTATTAAAGTGGTTAAACTCGTTCTTAGAAAAGCGGCATAATACTTGTTCAATAACAAAGATATTCTATGTTACAGTGCAAGACCTTTTGGGAGACAAGGGGTTGTTAGTTGCTGGGAGATTTTGCTGCAGTAAAATCTATATTGCGAAGTCATACTTTATAAATACTGTTATTGTAAAGAAGGTAATCGCTGTACAGAGGGTCGTTATATAGAGAACGTACTGTCCAACTGTTTCAACACTCCAACATAAGACTATGGATTATAAGTTATAGTTTTATGCCCTTGAAGGGAATGATTATTTTTTCTTTTAATTGTACAACTCACATTCTAAAGATGCATTATCAGTTTTTGCTCATTGTTAAAGAAGTTAAAACAGAATCCGAATCATTGATGTTTTAAAACATTCCATTATAAGTATGCCACGTTACGCTGACGTGTGAACATTTTAACGTATACAATCTTCATATAAGTCACGTGACGTTAATTGAGCGTTACGTTTACATACGTTCCATACATGTGTGTATATACAAATATCACTTCATGTATATAGTAAATAAATATTAACATTAAGGTACGTCATTGAACTTAGTACTTCGCTGGTTTAAGTCCTGCCCCAGGAACTTAACATCTATCATTTGAGAATTCAAACACTTAATATATCTGATTGCCAACCACTAAAATGTTAATGACAAGGTTTAGTGCTTTAAGCGAAATTGTAAAATGAAGTTATAACATTTAGATATGAATGCAATAAAAGAAACCATGACACTAACCTGCTATCAAACTGTGTGCCATTCTCGAGGAATCCTGCATAGTGCATCGTCACAAGATCATGTTTTTTCGTTTTTCTGTCACATTTCTCGATTGCATGTAATACTTCAATTTTAAGTTCTCCATCTTCACAATTTACAAATATGCCTGCTAGGGCAACCAATAGGAATATGTAAAGCACGTTAGACATATTGTTAGCTTATTAGATTACGTTAATAATTAACTCTATTAAAGCTGGTCACATATGGTGCCCATTTAAAGATAAGGCAAGTTTAGTGCTCCAACGTGGCACGTATTAGGCGGATTTTGATTGGTTAAGACATCTTGTCTCTTTACAGTTGTCATTCTTCGGTAGTTTTCGGCAATCACCGGGTTTTATCATTAATTATGTTGCAACTGTATTTCGTTGATGACAATCCCTCATTGTTTTACCTTTGACACGCGCTATTTGTCGTCTGATTGGTTGTTAGATATAGACGAACCATTCTACAACACGTTGTATTGTTTTTTTGTTTAATGATACATCATCATTAGATAGCAACAAACAATTTTAGACATAATCACTCAAAATTTTTCTATATTTTACTACATGTAGTTTATTTATTATATTTATACTATACCGCCAGATGAATACATAATTTCTAAAACTGCTTCAAGCATAATCGAGTTTGTCGAGTATGATAAAATCTTGAAAAAATGGCATAACTTTTGATTTATAATTTTGATGATTTTTTTTTTAAGAATAAGTAAATGGAACAGATACATGTTCTTAGTAGAGTTTTGAGGATATAGTATCATTTTTTACCAATTTATTCTATTTTGCGTATTTAATGTTAAAGTGTTTTACATTCACGCATGTTATTACATAATAATGTTTATATATCTACAGAATGATGTGGTTTTTTTTATATCAATTGTAAATGAAATCTTGCCTAGCACCCGGGATATATAAGCAAACAACCGTTAATATAGGGCGATATAACATGTCAAAAAATCTTTATAACTAAAAGTATATACGTCGAATGTATCGGTATAGATTACAGAGTACCATATACTATGGAACGCCGTGACTGTCTTATGTAATCAATGTTTTTGTTATCTTGTGAAACGATGATATTATTTTGTCGTTTGAGCATGTTAACATGTGCAATTTACATCATGTCTTGTCAAATGAACATGCTGACTTGTACAAACAGCATGTTAACTTGTCAAACTATAATGATGACATGTGCAGACAACATGCTATCTTGTCAAAGTATCGTGATGACTTGTGCAAACAACATGTTAACTTGTCAAAGTATAATAATGACTTGTGCAAATGACATGGTAACTTGTCAAAATGTAATGATGACTTGTGCAAACGTCATGTGAACTTGTCAAATTATTGTGATGACTTGTGAAGACAGCATGTGAACTTGTCAAAGTATAATAATGACTTGTGCAAACAGCATGTTAACTTGTCAAAATGTCATGATGACTTGTGCAAACGCCATGTTAACTTGTCAAAGTATAATGATGACTTGTGAATAGGACATGTTAACTTGTCGAACTATCGTGATGACATGTGCAAACAGCATGTTAACTTGTCAAAGTATAATGATGACTTGTGCAAACAGCATGTTAACATGTCAAATAACCATGATGACTTGTGAAGACAACATGTGAACTTGTCAAAGAATCGTGATGACTTGTGCAAATGACATGTTATCTTGTATCATGCTGACATGTCAAAAAAGCACTGTTAACTTGTCAAAGTATCATGCTGACTTGTGCAAATACCATGCTAACATGTCAAAATTCAATGATGACATGTGTAAACAGCATGTTAACTTGTCGAATTATCGTTATGACATGTGCATACAGCATGTTAACTTGTCCAAGTATCATGATGACTTGTGCAAACGACATGTTAACTTGTCCAAGTATAATGATGACTTGTGCAAATGCCATGCTAACTTGTCAAAATTTCATGATGACATGTGCAAACAGTATGTTAACTTGTCAGATCATCGTGATAACATGTGCAAACAACATGCTAACTTGTCCTAGTATCATGATGACTTGTGAAAGCAACATGTTAACTTGTCCAAATTTCATGATGACATGTGCGAACAGCTTGTTAACTTGTCAAGGTATCGTGATGACTTGTGCAAACTACATTCTAACTTGTCAATGTATCATGATGACTTGTGCAAATGCCATGTTAACTTGTCAATGTATCATGATGACTTGTGCAGACAACATGTTAATTTGTCAAAGAATCGTAATGACTTGTGCAAAACACATGTTAACTTGTTAAGGTATTATGAGCATGTCATCACGATAATTCGACAAGTTAACATGCTGTTTGCACATGTCATCATGAAATATTGACAAGTTAACATGTCGTTTGCACAAGTCATTATGATATTTTGACAAGTTAACATGTCGTTTGCACAAGTCATCATGATACTTTGACAAGTTAACATGTTGTCTGCACATGTCATAATGATTATTTGACAAGTTAACATGCTGTTTGAACAAGTCAGCATTGTCTTTAGACAAGATATGATGTAAATTGCACATGTTTATATGCTTAAATGACAAAATAATATCATCATTTCAGAAGATAGCAAAGACATTGATAGCATAAGACAGTCACGGCGTTCCATACTATACCACATATTGAAATGATGACATTATCATTTGTCAGGTACAATGGTTGTATGTTTATTATGTTGGATTTTAAGCTACAACCATACAGTGTCTTCCCAGCTTTGCTCAGGATAGTACCTATGTACATTGTGTCCGACATGAGCAGAAATTTGAGTAAAGTAGAACCACCAATCATCCATAAGATAGAGGGGTACCTTTTTCACCTGAAAATATCAAATTTCCCCGCGCGGAGATAGCATAATTCACATTCAGCATTCAGGCAACCTGCTTATATCGACCTTTATTCCTCTCAGTGGTGAATTTAACAAACAAAAGTACAATACATACCGACATTTTTACTATGTTAACTCACCTATTTAAAGTCATATTAAGAAGGTATACTTTTTGTGTAATGACTTTTCTATGAATCTAAAAGGAAAGAAAAACGAATTAGACATTTATGACAGCATTTGAACTTTTCTATTAGCTTTAAAACGCAGCTGACCGACACTGCAAAGGTCATTTGGCGACTTCCCTTATTTACTGATGGAGGTTAAAACTTCGTGAAAACCATAACCACCATTAACAAATCTGGAAAATAACAATGAAATCAAAGTTTAAAAGTCGGGGGAAGTACTACATCACCTACATCCACTGTCATTGACCGGGTATATACATGTATATAAATGAGTGAATTTGCGACATTCAATCATGCCATTCTTTGTAATTATTTATCAGTATTAGGATAGACACATCAGTAAACTTGATAAGTCAGCATATATGTTAACTATACAGTATTTAACTTACTTCGTTTCCAATAAAAAGTATTTCAAGGGGGAGGAAAGACAATACATGTAGTACGTAATTGTAATCTTTTATTGTTCTATATTCTCGTAACCTGAACAACTTCATTTGAAAAAAAAAATGTTGGAATATTTTTAAACTATATCTTAGAAACCTTGAAAGAAGACTAATTTCATAAATCTTTTTTATTTTTCATTTTTACTTGAAATTTAAAACACAAACTATTGAAAAACATTCGTAAGTGAATCTTTGTCTGGCTCACCAACTATACGTCTCCATTATTGAAAAATATACTTTGAATACTGTTTGAAGGAAACGTTAATTAAACGGGGATAGTGAAGATTATTACCTTTCTGATAATATAAAATGAACTTTTGTTCTATTTTAGGTAAGAAAATTAAAGTGAATTGGTCTACAACAGGCACATTTTCCATTAGTACGAGGGCATATTTTAATTAGTAGCAACGGCAGCGCGTTTTTATAAATAAGTCATACCTGTAAATATTATTAGTAGAGTTCTTAAACATATTCACCATGGACCTTTACACATTTTTCAACCCTCAGAAGACATTCCGAAAGAGCATTTTTGAATTGTTCTTTGGGTATGATGTTTATACACTGTAGAGAGCTCTTCCGCCGGCACCGGCGACACGAAGGCAAGATTTGATGTATGGATTAAATCAAAAGTCACAAGGATAGAGGTCAGTAATATAAGCGGGATGTAGCAAAACCCCAATTCTCTCAACCTCTAAATAAACTTTAGAGAAATGTGATCCTGCGCACCTCTGACATTGGGTTCTTTGTAAGGTAGTGATTAACCTAAGCAGTGAGAACATTGTCACGGTAAAATGTTCCAGTGACACTACACTTCTCAGGCACAGCGACCTGGGCCACTTTTCCATCACTGTCAAAAAGTAGAACGTACATAACTCTTTTTACGGTCCTGCTTAGTCGAGCAACAACTGAGCTATCGCTGTTTTCAACTACCAACATTTTATTACTTTTATTACGGAAATTGGCCGCCCATGGTAGAAAATCATCCTTAGCATAAGTTCTATCTTTCTAAAACATAGACACCCACCTGGCCATTGTACGATATGAAAGGGCAATTTCTCAATAAACTAAATCTAGATCCGTTTTTATTTCTGACGAGCATTTAACCCAATTACCTACAAATTTTGCAATAAGCTCTTTGCTCCTCTGTCAAATCATAGGAACTCTAGAACAGTACCGCATATTGCGGCGCATAAATTCGAATCCGTACCGGCTTTACAAATTGTTTGTCCGACCTTCAAAGATCTTTTCATATTATTCGAGTGGGTGGTCTTTAATTATATGATCTCAATTCAATATAATCTGCTTATTTAAAAATCAGTCTAATTTACGGTATATTATAATACCGTAAAATTTGACCAGTTTTAAAAGTAACAGTTTAATTGATAATATACTTTTTTGAGGCCTTATACTCAGATAATACAAAAAGATATTAAGATGTAGCAGAAACATTTTAAAAACCGTTACACGATCGAAAATATTCGCTGCAATATGCGGTACCGTTCTCGAGTTCCTATGTCTTACATAACACATTGTATACACACCGGTCTCAAATATCGAGTAAGACCGGTGTACACAATGTTACATAACATGCAATGCAACTCAATGTTTTTATTGCAGTTTAAGAGTTATAGATGTACGGTTAAATTAGATGTATTATAGTTTAACATGATTATTTCGTGCTCACTAATGTAATTGACAGGCGGATAGATACGCCACTCGAGGTGTACAGGTCGTATTGCCAACCCACCCATCCCTTTAACCGTTGTGAGTCTTAGACAATATGTTCTGACTTAAAATAGCTA